CGGGGGGGGGGGGGTTCCTGCAGACAGTTTTATTCTCCAGCAGAAACCAAACTCTTCATTACTGAGTGTTCCAGATGACAAAGTGGCCTCCAGGTTAAAGCTTTAGAGACAAATACCTGGGGGAAGAGTTCAATGAACATATTATTTTGAGGTGGAATTACTGGCAGATCCCCAACCTACCCTGTAATTTGCTTTTCTCATTTTCAATGCCTAAAAAGCTTTTGATAAGTTATGGAGCCAGCAAATTAAGATCACAGAAAACATCCATGTTGTATCAGATGATAAAAACAGTGATGAAGTTTGCACATCTTCAGAAGCTGACACTGGAAAGTGTTGTATTTGACTCAAAAAGAACATTTAGAAGAAATATTAAGGCTATCCTCCAGAGCTGAGGTCCCCTTTCTGCATTTGGAGAAACTTATACTGGCTTCGATGTTCCTAACACTATGACTGCAATCAAAGAATTACATTTGTGTGAGAGCCAATTTATGCATAATTATGGAAACCATTTCTTTTGATGAAAACTGTCATAATAATTGCAGCTACAGTAGTAGCAGTAGTAAAATATTCTTGTCCATATAAGTTTTGTCATACAAGGTGCCCCAGGGCAGATCCTGACATGTTGCCAAAAATAAGGTTATGAATCTTTTCTAGAAGCCTTGGAAAAGGTTCCTCTATTTCACTTAAACTGTACCTTTAGTGAAATACACATTTCACTTTAGTTCCTATTCAGGCTACCAAATCAGGGCTGCAAAAATCTGGAAAACCACTAGATATCTGTAAATATATACAAATCTCTCTCTCTCTGTGTCTCTCTCTCATTCTCCAAAGTTTTGCCGTCAAGATCTGGAACCTCCAGTATTACATAATATCCCTTAGTAAAAAGTATTAAAAGACACCTACACTGAGTGTGCTGTTTCCAGCAATAGCCAAAGATGCCTGAAAATAAATTTATACATATGCAAATTTGCTAGTGAGAAGCAGAAATTCTTCACACAACCACTCTGAGCAGCAGACACCCACTTCAATTCTGCTCTCCCCGTGGCCTGAACAGAAAGCGGTCAAGACAGCACACAAATTCACAATAAATTCATATAAATTCATTGTCTGTAGTGCAATAAGCAGAAAGATGGCAAATCTTTCATATTATATCCTATTCTTATCTATATTCCATTACCCTTACCATACCTAGAATGACTCCAGAAACAAAATACAGTACTGTACACATCTACAGCTGCTCTCTCCAAAAAGCAAAATAGTAGTGAAGAAGCAGTCTTATACTACACAACATGCCTCTCCAGACATTGCCAAACCAGAGATGCTGGGCAGCATGGCTTAGCAACATCTAAGACCAATGTGACCAACCTTCCGAATGTGTGAACTGAACTCATAAAATTCTAGCAATAACCATGACCATAGAGGTGAAGACCACGTACCTGGAGGGCACCCAGTTGAGGAAGAGAAATCTACAAAAAAGGTGCAGAACTGAACCTCCATAATGGAATCAAAGTATTTTCAAGAGCATCAGGCAGGGCAAGCAGTCAAGAGTGCCTATATGGAATTTGGAATCAAAGGAAAAATATATCTCTAATTATATTTTAGGGTCTACTCCCTAAAGGATGTTTCCTTATCAATTTTTTAAAAGTCAAGATTAACCCATTTTTGTACACTTTTTTCCTAATACAGCATGCTTGCAAGCAGTTTATATGAGCTTTTCTCTGCCCAACAGCACTTTTGATCTAGGAATTCCTCTGCAAAATTCAGAGGAGCGCAAAAACAGAAGGATACGTGTGTTCCTCTTCATGCATTCGTTCAAAAAGTGAACTAATATCTCTTCATTGTCAGTTCCTATTAAAATGTAAGCCAAATAATTATGTTCCTGGATAACCACAGTCACTGCAAACTGTAGGTCTGCTTTTAACTTAAAGTAAAAACCAGTATTAGACCCTTCAATTCCTAGTGTCAGACTGAGAGCAAAACTACAGTTTGCAGTAATTCAGAAGTCATCATAGTTCATTAACCAGGAAAGGAAGGGAAAACAATTCTAAGAGAGAAATGTTATAAGTCCAGTAAGATGCTTCTGGAATAAGTATAATAGAATAATACATTAGTTAGTTTGAGGATGCCCAAGTCCAGGTTGTTTTTGCTGCAAAAGCTTAACAATGCTAGCTTCTAAAAATGTTTCAATTCAGACATCATTCTAAACTAAAGTTGTGTTTCCCAAAGCTAGTCTACCAGCTGGTCACAAACCATATTTCATCAATACACTCTGATAACATTTTCAGTCGTGGTTTGCCATGACACATGAACCAAGACGACATGTCTTTGTTTCAGTATTTTTATTTCTTTTTGAAGTATAAAAGATGGGTCTGTCCCAATGTATATTCTCTGCATTTCAATATATAGTCATAAAAATAAAAGTAATCCAGAATTGCAATATAAATCATACATTAAGTAATATATATGTGTCAACTATTACATTCAGTGTGAGCAGATACAAGACTGAAGTCAGTGATGATATTTATCTTCTAATCTTTTTCTATAGTAACGTACTTTGGAATTAAGATTAGCTCTGTAGTGTAGAGGCTGCATCCATTTGTTCAGGATCTACTCTGTTCTAAAGAATATATCCTTTCCTTTTGCAATGTACTGTAAGCTCAGTTTACAATCAATAGCACCTCCATGTACTGAAATAAGAGAGGCAATAAGAACTTGAGAGTACCAGAGTAAAACTAGCTCAGATGACTTTTTAAAAAATATATGAAAACATCTCTTCACTAGGCACCAGAAAGATTAAAGATTTTATATTACACTCACTGACCTGGTTCACACGTCATGCAATGCTACAAAGTGGCCTTGTTTGATTTGGCTTAGTGTATTGTACAAACCCAGCCAGCTGTGGTTTACTCAATAAACATAATTATGTTTATTGATCAAACACAAAGGCTTTGCATAGAACTTCTTAAATTCTGCAGCATTATGACCCCACCAACTGACAAGGATATTGTGAATTGTAGCTCAACAACATCAGGGAGGCCACAAACCCATGTGACCTGCTCAACCTATGAAAAACATAATTTCACTGGGGCTAGGACTGGCACAAAATAAACATATTGCCCCTTGTCAATAATTAATTTTAATTTCTAAAGGTGCCCTGGGCTGGATCCCCCCAAAACCACATACCAAGCCTCTCCTGTGAAGATCTGGCACAGATAGCAGACCCGTTCCAGATGCATATGTCACCAGTGTCCAGTACTGGACCCCTGCAATATTGTATTCTGGGATCTCTCCTCTCTGTGCAGACAGCAATCCACTCTGGGCTTCCATACCACAGGCACCCTGGTACAATACCACATCAGACACTTGCCAGACCACACTTCTACTCTGTATGAGCAGACACTTGTTCAGGCAAAGCAGAGGTGAGTTCTGGCAGTGCAAGCTCCCCCAAAACTCTAGCTGTGTCTGTTAAATGAACCTGCGTGTATATTTACAGAGAGAATTCCATTACCCTTACCATACCTAGAATGAC